CTGCGGTCAGGCGGGGAGACCCGGGGAGCTGGGGGCCGCCGTCCTCGCAGAAGCGGAGCCGGGGCTCGCGGTTCACCTGCACGTAGCTGGCGGGGAAGATGCCCTGGCGGCCGGTGCCCGTGATGCGCCCCTCGTACCAGTTCTCGTTCACCTTGCGGATCAGACAGATGCGCTCCCCCTGGGGACGGGAGGAAGGCTGTCCTGGGGCCCCACGGAGCCCCACGCGTGTCCGCGGCCACCCCGCACGGAGCGCGCAGCAGGCCAGCCCAGGTCACACAGCTGGAAGGTGAAGTCAGGAGCCTGGGCAGCCCTGAGTTCAAATCCAGGCCTGCCTCTTTGGGAAGCCAACCTGACATGGCTGCCCGCCTCTGTTCAGCACTCTATCCCTCCATAGAGAGCTGGTCACACACAGGCAAACCCCCTGGGCCGAGGCCAAGCCCTGCGGCTTTGGGTAATCTGCTCTGCCTCCCTGCGCCTGGTTCCCTCAAGCCGTTAAGGGGAGAGACCCATGAGGCTGCTGTGAATGCAAGTGAAGTGGGTGGAGGGCCTGGAAGAAGCACTGGACAGGCCACCGGGTCCCGACCTCCCGTTACTGATCCCGAGGAAGGCTGGGCGCTGAGTGACCACCATCTTGGCAGCTGCCAGAAGGAGGCTCCTAGCCCAGGCCTCTCCCACCCTCGCCAGATCACCCCCCATCCAGCCAGCTCCTTCCCTCTGTGTCCCTGTGAGCAGCCCCTGCCTGGCACTCCCCAAAAGCAACCGATCTGAGGCCAGTTCCTTGCCTTCTTTTCCCAAAAGATTTTCTTTCACCTTATCTATAGTAAAAAAAATTATGTTTTAAGCCAGTGCCGGTGGCTCACACCTGTTATCCCAGCTATTCAGAAGGCTGAGATCTGAGGATTGTGGTTCCAAAGCCATTCCAGGCAGGAAAGTCTGTGAGAGTCTTATCTCCAAATACTCACAGAAAAAGCCAGAGTAGTATTGTGGCTCAATGGGTAGGGCGCGAGAGTTGAGCAAAAAGGGGCTCAGGGATAGCACTCAAGCCTAGGGTTCGAGCCCCAGGACCAGCAAAAATAAAAATTAAAAAGAAATTATGTTCCAGTGGAACTGTGGCTCAAAGTGGTAAAGCATTAGCTTTGAGCCAAAAAAACCCTCAGAGACAGTGCCCAAGCCCTGAGTTCAAGCCCCAAGACCTGACCAAAAATAATAATAATTATTATTATGATGTTCTAATAACAGCCAAGAACCAAGCCCAGATGGTTCATGCCTATAATCATAGCTACTCAGGAGGCTAAGACCTGACAATCAAGCTTAGAGCCAGCCCAGGCAGAAAAATCCAAGCGACTCTTCAATTAACCAGCAAAATGTTAGAAATGGAATTGTGGCTCAAGTGGTAGAGAGCTAGGCTCTAGCAGAAAAGCTAAAGGATAGTGTAAGACCTTGTGTTTAAAAAAAAAATGCAGGTTAGCTGGGTGCCATTGGCTCACGCCTGTAATCCTAGCTACTCAGGAGGCTGAGATCTGAGAATCTCAGTTCAAAGCCAGCCTGGGCAGGAAAGTCCATGAGACTCTTATCTCAGAAAACCAGAAATAGTGCTGTGGCTCAAGTGGTAGAGCCTTCACCTTGAGCTGAAGAGCTGAGGGACAGTACCCAGGCCCAGAGTTCAAGCCCCACGACTGACAGAAAAAAAAAAAAGCAGGTTATACCCCTCAGGGTCTACCTACCTGCAGATGGTAAAAACAGCTTTTAAAAATGGGTACAGGGGGGGCTGGGAAGGTGGCTCAGTGGTAGAGCACTTGCCTTGCATGCTCGAGACCCTGGGTTCGATTCCCCAGCACCACATAAGAAAAAAGCCGGAAGTGGTGCTGTGGCTCAAGTGGTAGAGTGCTAGCCTTGAGCTGAAGAGCTGAGGGACAACGCCCAGGCCCAGAGTTCAGGCCCCACAACCGGACCCAAAAAAAAAAAATGGGTACAGGGGGCTGGGAATGCGGCTTAGTGGTAGTGCTTGCCTAGCATGTATGAAGCCCTGGGTCTGATTCCTCAGTACCACATAAACAGAGAAAGCTGGAAGTAGCACTGTGGCTCAAGTGATAGAGTGTTAGCCTTGAGCAAAAGAAGCTCAGAGACAGTGCCCTGGCCCTGAGTTCAGGTCCCAGGACTGGCAAAAAATAAAATAAATAAAAATGGGGCCAAGCGCCAGTGGCTCACGCCTGTAATCCTAGCTACTCAGGAGGCTGAGATCTGAGGATCGTGGTTCAAAGCCAGCCCGGGCAGGAAAGACCGTGAGACTCCTATCTCCAATAAACCACTAGAAAACAAGAAGTGGCGCTGTGGCTCAAGTGGTAGAGCGCTAGCCTTGAGCTGAAATGCTCAGGGATAACACCCAGGCCCAGAGTTCAAGTCCCACAACCGACAAAAAAAAAAAATGGGTACAGAGCCGGGCACTGGTGGCTCATGCCTGTAATCTCAGCTTCTCAGGAGGCTGAAATCAGAGGATCATGGTTCAAAGCCAGCCCAAGCAGGAAAATTCTGCGACTCTTACCTCCAGTTAACCACCACGAAGACAGAAGTAGAGCTGTGGCTCCACTGGGTGCTGAGGGGCAGCACCCAGGCCCTGAGTTCAAGCCCAAGGACCAACACACACACACACACACACACACACACACACACAAACACACACACACACACACGCAAGCACAGGCAAGGCTACAACAAATAGGAATACTTGACTTTTTTTAAAAACAAAGAAAAAAATTGTTGCCATTTCCTGCAGTCCATTTCATACCTGACTCTATGCACCTTTATCTGCACCTGCACCTTTATCTATGTCTTCACCTGTCCCCCCAGACCCTACCACCTCCTGCCTGGCCCCACCTTGCGGAAAGACAGCTCCACCTCCAGGTCTCCCTTGAAGTTGTACTGGGCCACGGCGTCTCCGTACTCCACCACCTGGTAGGTGGGGGGCTTGATGGGCTTGGGGGTCTCATCCGCAGGCAACACCTGCAGAAGAAATGCCACGTGGCATCACCTGGGCTTGGGAGGGTGAAACAATAAAACAAAATGAGTGGGCAAGAGATGCCCCTGGCCAGAGGGATGCCAGTGCCAGGCACAGCCCCAGAAATGGAAGGGAAACCACAGCAGAGCAGGGTACAGGGGTTAGTCCCAGGCGGCCTCCTGGAGGAAGAAATTTCAGCAGAGGACTGTGGAGTGGGGAATTGGATGTGCAAAGGGAAAGTCAGTCCAGTTAAATGTCAAGTTGGACCATGGAGGAAAATGAAATATTCCAAGTTGCAGGAGCCACGCTGTTCTAAAACTGAGGCTTGTGTTTGAGTGTCTTGGTCCCTCTCCTCCCTTTCAACCCCTTTCAGGGGCCCCCAAATCCTAATGTTCTCTTTGTTTCATCTTGCTCATAAAAACCAAGAAGCTAAGCTATTTCACACTAAAATGTCCACTGATGGACTGGACTCTTGTATATACTTTGTGAAATTTCAGCACCGAGAGATTAGACTGTGGGTAAGGGAGGTCTTAATTCAAAAGCCTTAATTAAACAATGATCCTAACGTACAGTTGAATGAAATATACAAGTTGAATAAAAAACCACATAAAAAAATCTGTGGGATGCAGCTAAAGCAGTGTCTAGAGGGAAATTCATACCATCAGATGCTTTTCTTAAGATGAAAAAATTTTAAATCCATAACCTAAACTTTTCCTCTAACAATATAAAAAAGGAAAGGCAAATGAATCCTAAAATAAGCAAAAAGAAGGAATGAATAAAGAGGCAGTCATTAATGAAATTGCAAACAAAAACAATAGAGAGAAAGTAACAAAATCAAAATCTGGTTCTTTGGCAAGAATAAGAGACAATGCACATAGCTGTACCAGGAAAAAAGATATAGGACAATCACTTCTGAGATTAAAAAAAGATGAGACACAGCTGGGCGCTGGTGGCTCACACCTGTAATTCTAGCTATTCAAAAGGCTGAGATCTGAAGATTGTAGTTCAAAGCCAGCCTGGGCAGGAAAAGCCACGAAACTTTATTTATTTATTTACTTATTTATTTATTTGTCGGTCATGGGCTTGAACTCTGGCCTGGGCGCTGTCCCTCAGCTCTTCAGCTCAAGGCTAGTGCTCTACCACTTGAGCCACTGTGCCACTTCTGGTTTTCTGAGTGGCTTATTGGAGATAAGAGTCTCATGGACTTTCCTGCCCAGGCTGGCTTTGAACCAAGATTCTCAGATCTCAGCCTCCTGAGTAGCTAGGATTACAGGCGTGAGCCACCAGCCTAGCTTAAGGCCATGAGACTCTCATGTATAGTATAAACAGTGTTATGCCAATAATTTAGGCAGTTTGACATTCCTTACTCACAATCACAATCACCAAAGATCACCTGTAGATTTCTATCAAGTCTAGAACTTGCATTAAGAACCACAATCTCTGAAACACTGAAGAAACTCTCTCATTCCCCAAGTAGTGAGAGCAACAGGTATAGCGGTGAAAGAAGACATTCATGTGTGCCTTGTGAACCGCCAAACACTTGTCCACGATTCAACTTGTCAACTAGGACAAGGATTCAGATGGCTCACTCCCCCCAAAGGCAGCTTTAGAAAGAAGGGTTCTGAGTGGGGAATGTTTGCGACCCTGATAGCATGGTGGCTTCAGGCTGAGAAGCTAGATGACGTGATCATCTCCTGAGTCAAACTCCTCCAGGTCAAAGACATTCAGAGAGAGGTGGGGGCTGGGACGGTGGCTCAGTGGTACAGTGCTTGCCTAGCATGCATGAAGCCCTGGGTTCGATTCCTCAGCACCACATACGCAGAAAAAGCCAGAAGTGGCACAGTGGCTCAAATGGTAGAGTGCTAGCCTTGAGCAAAAGAAGCTCAGGGACAGTGCCCCTGGCCCTGAGTTCAAGCCTCAGGACTGGCCAAAGAGAGAGGGGGCGGGGTGAGCCCTGACCCTCAGTGTTTTATATCTAGGAAACCAAGTCTCTCCCAGGCCGGCTGCAGCTGGCTCTCATCTTCCCCCACTCACCTCCACATAATTGGCGGGGAAGATGCCCATCCGGCCATAGTGCTCTCCCTCCAGCCAGTTCTTGTCCACCTCCTTATGGATGTACACAATGTCACCCTTCTGCAGAGTAAGCTCCCTGCAGACCAGAGCAAGAATGTCACAGGAAGCGCAGGAAGCGGAGGCCTTCCTAACCTCTACTGCTCCAGACCCTTGCCCAGGGCATGCCCGGTCTCCTCTACCCCTCTGGGGATGCCCCACTGGAGTCCTGGGCCTCCCTCTTCTACAGAGCAGAGGAGCAGAGGTGGCCCAGGGTGGAAGAGGAAGGACTGAGCAGGCCACTTACTTGGGGGACTGTGCTTGGAAGTCGAACTTGAGCCGCGCGGCCTTCCTCTGGGCAGGGGAGAGGACAGAGTGGGCCACCTCAGCCAGGCTGGGGCAGTCTGGAAGAACAGGGGTCCCCCCAGGCCCTCCCTGCCCCAGGACCCTGCCCCTCCCTACCTTCTCTTCCTTCCTGACTGGGCTGCTCCCTCTTTCCCGGGCACTAGACTCTGTGGAGAAGCAACATCTCAGCTTGGGGCTGGGGTGGGGATGGGGTGATACCTTGTCCCCACACAGGACAGATGCCACACCGCACGAGCAAGGGGCTTTAGACCTTCCTGTCTGCTGTCTCCTGCAGAGTCCAGGTGAGGACAAAGATAAACACCACAGGCTGGTCGCCAGTGGCTCATACCTGCAAGCCTACCTTACTCAGGAGGCTGAGATTTGAGGATTGCAGTTCAAAGCCATCCTGAGACTCTTAGCTCCAACCACGAAAAAAACCAAAAGTGGAGCTGTGGCTCAAGTGGTTGAGCACCAGCCTGGATCAAAAAAAGCTCAGTGACAGTGATCAGGCCCGGGACTGGCACAAAAAGAAAAAAGAAAAAGGACTGGTCTTGGTCTTACCTCGGGCTGAAGAAGGGTAGGCGAAATCTCTACGACCCAGGAAGGGGCTTCCTCCTCCATCTGCCATCCTGTGGGGGCTCAGGGGTCGGGAGGGACCCAGGTAAGGCGCATGCGGGGAGCTGGACCTCCAGGCGGTGGCGGGGCTGCAGGGGTACAGAGCGCGCGCCACCTGCATGGGGGGCTTCAGCTCCCACCCCAGACTCCCCGAGATCTTCCCGCCCCCCTCCCCGCTGCTCCCCAAGGCATCTCCTGGGTCCCGGGCTCTCCACAGGATGTCCTGCTTCCCGAGCAGCGGGGCAGGCAAGGGTGAGGCCCGGGCCGGCCAGGAGGGGAGGCGGCCCGAGCGCGCGGAGGCGCGGGTGGTGCCTCGGTGCCCGGGCTCGGGGCGGGGTGCAGCCTCCCGCCCCACCCCCAGCGGGACCAGAGGGGGCCCCCGGGCCACTTTTCCGCTCTCCGCGCCCCCTCCTCTCTCACACTCCCCCGGCTCCGGGCGCGCCCGTGCCCGACACTCGGCCACGTCCCCTCCCGGCCGCCCGCGTTCCGGGCCCGGCCCGGCCAGCGCCCCGGCCCGCGCCGCCGCTCACCTGGCCGGGAGCCGCTGCTCCGGGGTCCGTCGGGGAGCCGGCGAGCTCTGTGCGGGGAGAAGGGGCGCGATCGCGGGCAGGACCGGGCCCGGCAGCCGCAGCCGCCCGCCTCCGGAAAAGTTCTGTGCCGGGGAGGGGCGGGCGGACGGGACGCGGGGTCCTAGCGGCGCCGGAGGAAGCGCGGGGCGGGAACGGGAGGCGGGGCGGCGGGGGAGCGGAGCCTGGCTGGAGATGGGTCCCGGGCGCGGCGGGGCGGCGGGGCGCGGGGCGGCGGGGCGGCGGGGGAGCGGAGCCTGGCTGGAGATGGGTCCCGGGCGCGGCGGACGCCCGGGCGGCGGGGGAGCGGAGCCTGGCTGGAGATGGGTCCCGGGCGCGGCGGGGCGGCGGGGCGCGGGGCGGCGGGGCGGCGGGGGAGCGGAGCCTGGCTGGAGATGGGTCCCGGGCGCGGCGGGGCGGCGGGGGAGCGGAGCCTGGCTGGAGATGGGTCCGGGGCGCGGCGCGGCGGGGCGGCCGGGCGGGCCGCGGCCCAGGCCTGACGTCAGGATTGGGCCCGGACGGTCCCCAGGGCTCCCTCGGACGCCCCGCGTTTTGTAAGGAGAGCGGGAAGGGCTGGAAGTGCGCTCGGGGTCGCCCCAAGCCGGGGGAGGGGGAGGCTGGTACCGGGGTGGGGGGCACGCTGGAGGCGACACCTTGAGGGTGGAAGCTGGTACCTTGAGGAGCGTCATGGAGGAAGAAGCTATGTTGGGGGATGCGGAGGGGGTGCTCCCCGAGATGGCTGCTTTGGGAGACGGCTGCCGGCTCTCGATGGCCCGCAGGTCCTTGTCCAGCTCCGCGCTCAGCTTGGCCAGCTCTCGCTCCAGCAGAATCTGGGGGTGTGTGGGGGGCGATTTGGATGGGGAACCGTGCACTGGGGGTGGGGGTGGGCTGGTCGGAGGTCAGAGGTCAGATGTGGGCTGCAAGCCAGGTCACACGTGCTTTGGTCAAGAGCAGGCCTGAGGAGTTGTGGGGGGCAGGATAGCCACTCCGGCACAGAAGGGGGGCTCAAGGCGGCAGCGTGGGCACCCTGCCACCTGCCTCCTACCTAGCACGCCGGGGTGCTTGGCAGTGCCATCGTGTTTTCCTACTTTTTGCTATGTGAAGGGTTTGCCTGAAGGGTTCCCTGTTTCCTCTCCAACTTCTGTGGCCCTCCATGGCCTGGCTTCACCCCTGCCTGCCCCTCCCCCCATGCTGCCCATTTCACCGTCCTGTGTGATACACACACACACACACACACATGCATGTACCCGTGTGCTCACTCACAGCGTCCCCCGCTCTGCTTTTTCTTCTCCCCAGAGCAGACTCCACCTGGCCAAGCTGAGCTCCACGTTCAACAATTCCTTGCACCCCTACCTGTAATCCTAGCTCCAGCCTATAATCCTAGCTACTTGGGGAGGCTAAGATCTGAGAATTGAGGTTCAAAGCCAGCCCAGGCAGACAAATCAGAGACTCTTATTTCCAATTCCTGCTTGCGTTCGGCTCAACCCATCTTAAGGATTTACCTTAAGCCAGGCACCATTCTGGGTTCCAGAGATACGAGAATCAGAGCCTTTTCCCCAGGCTTTCCCCATATTCACGGGGACTCTCAGAACCCAGACTCCCCCGCTTTTTTGTTTTGGTCAGTCAGGGGCCTGAACTCTGGGCCTGGGCGCTGTCCCTCAGCCCTGCAGCTCAAGGCTAGCATTCTACCACTTGAGCCACAGCGCCACTTCTGGCTTTTTTTGCTTATGTGGTGCTGAGGAACCGAACCCAGGCCTCATGAATGCAAGGCAAGTGCTCTACCACTGAGCCACCTTCCCAGCCCTGACTCCCCGCTTTTGATCCTCAACACAGCTGTCCCATGCTCCTCTCTCACCTCGATGGGCTGGGAGCTCTTCTCCACAGGGTCATCCACCAGTGGTTTCTTGGGCTAAAAGGTAGGAAAGGAACGTGCAAGGGAATAAACACACTTTCCAAATGCTTCAGCTGAGGGATACATGCGCCCCCCCCAGAAGACCTGGTGACATTCACCTTCTGCCCAGTCTCTATTTCTTGCATAAATTGGTTCCAGGAATCTTCTGTCCAAACATTCTCCACCTTCTCTCGGCGTTTGGACACCTGTATGGATGTGGAGAACCGAGGCTCTTTTCAGACTGCACACCATGGACTTGCAGCCACCCCCATGCTCTCCTGGGGAGCACTGTCTGTGCCAGCTCTACGGAGGGGCGTGGCCAGGCAGCATGCTGGGGTGGGGGGACCCTCCGTGGGGAGTGTGGTCAGTGGGCTACCTGGTTTGTAGGCTGGAGCCCCGAGGCTGCTCCAGGGTTATAGTTTAAGGTGCTTCTAGGTGTCTCTTCAGGGTGTTCCCAGCTTCTGAAGAAAGAGAGTAACATTTCTGTTTCTAAAGGGAAACTGAGGCATGAAGGAGCACACAACCCTGGAAGAACAGCCTTCTGTCTATCCAAGCCCAATGGATCTATGCCACCCGGCGCCTTCCTGTGGAAACTGGTATGGTGAAAGTATGCAAGAGTACAAGTTCCAACTTTACCACCTGAGTCGCTGAGAGCACTTGGGGAAAATTACATGGTGCTCTATTGAAGACCTGTCAGTGGGAGTGATTCAGTGAGGGAATGAAGGTGAAGTGCCCAGGAGAAGGTCTGGCACAAACATCAGCGCCCTGGGTGGCCAACCCTTTCCTACTGGCCTTCCTTCAGCTGAGCGTCCGGCATTGTGTTTGATGTGCTGCATGCCTGCAGCTGCTCTTCTGGTTCCATGGTCTTACACCCATGGCCAAGGATAAAGGGTTACATCTTATTCCGAGGAAACAGCCCAGAACAAGAGGCTCCTGAGGCATCTGTTCCACAGAACGTGGGCAGAGGGTGGATTTAGGGGCCACCTCGGCCACAGAGGCACTACACTGTACCATCCGGGCTGCCTTTAATGTCCCAGATGCTGTTTCAAATCTGGAGATTTCTACCAGATTTCCTACATCAAGCTTAGCCAGTGATGGAATGTCTAACCAGGGGGTCAGGATTTGTTAGCTATAATTATGACCTTTCCTCTGATATTAGTAATTAAACGTGATCATGAGAATGGAATGTGTTGTTCCTAATGGGAGGAAGCTCTAGTCGTAATTGGCCCTGTATTGGACTGGCTTTGTGCCAATCATGATGCAGGATGCCTATATATACCTCCCGTGGCACCCACTTATAAGACAGGGAGGGATACTTAGACTCTGATTGGTTAAATGACCCAAGATCACATGGCTACTGGCAATGCATTGGCTTGAATCCCAACTCTGAACTTTTTTTTTGGTGCCTGTTCTGGGGCTTGAACTCAGGGCCTGGGTACTGTCCCTGAGCTTCTTTTGCTCAAGGCTAGCAACAGTGGCACTTCTGTTTCTGTGTATGTGGTGCTGAGGAATCAAACCCAGGGCTTCATGCTTGCTAGGCAAGCACTGTACCACTAAGCTACATTCCCAGCCAAACTCTGGGTTTTGTCTGGATCTCTTGTTTCTCTTTCATTGATGATGCCTAAGTCACAGGTCAGCAACGGCTGTGGTAGAGGGCACAAGCAGCTCATGGATGTAACAGAGTTCCGACATTCTCAGGGTGGGGTGGAGCCCCTCCAGGGCTCCAGATGTGTTTACAGAGGGAAGATTTTCCACCTCCCCTCTCTGTAGGATGCCTCTCTATATCTAGGCAGGAACCTGGGTTGATGGCCACAGCACCAGTCTGCTCTTAACAGTTTCTGACCCCAGTCCCCATGATGCCCCCCACACATGACCCCTAAATCCTTAAAGGGATGAAGTCCTCCTGAAAACACAAATATTCATGATTTTAGTAAAAGTATGTAAAAATTTCCAAACTAGGAAAGACTACCTTTCTCTTTTGACGGGGCAAATCAGGAAATCTAGGGTGGTAGAGACCTGATTGGGCCCCGAGTCTGTGCCAGATGTGGCCACAAGGGGGCGCCAGTCCCCCTCAGGGACATGGCAGGTGCAGCTCACCGGCTAGGAGTCACTGGCTGGTGGCCAGTCCTGGAGGCAGGTCTTTGCTGGGCCCCCGGATACCTGGGCTCTGCAGAGGAGGCACAGGAGGAAATCCCTGGAGGTGGAGGAAGACAGGCAGGGACAGAAGTTGGATAACCCCGTAAGGTGACAGAACCCACCTCCACCCTAGCCCCTTAGTGACTGGCTCCCAGGTGCAGAGGTGGGCCCTGGGCAGCAGCATGCAGGCTTTGCCCTAAACGTTTTACAAAATCTTCAGAATAGCTTTGGAGCAGGCAGAGAGTCCATGGTACAGATGAGGAAAGAGGGGCCAGGGAACATCTGGCCAACATGTGCTAGAGCAGGGATCCCATGGAAGGAAGGAAGAGTTCTGAATTTAGAGCTCCTGACATGAGCTATAAAAACTTCTTCCTATTAAATCCTGCTACCTAGGGAGCTTGAGAGCCAGGTGGGTCCCCGGTCCCAGCTCCTCTCCAGCTACAGGCAGGCACAGGGCTGCTCAGGCAAGTGAGCCCAGCCCATTCCCCTCACCTTTGAGTGGATCTTCCAAGGTCCAGTCCAGCTGCAGGTCTGGGAACAGAAAGTACTGGGTCACCAATGGGACAGGGCGCCCCAGGAGGCTGCCTGGCCAATCCCAGCACCCCCCACCCCCCTCACACACACAGAGCAAGGGCTGAGGGCTGAGTCAGGACCTGAAGAATGTCCCCAGGGAGAGCAGCCGGGGGAGGGCTTCCAATGCCTGCCTTTGCAAGCCTGGGCCAGCCAATGGGGCAGGGCCTTGCCCACACGCAGCTCCTCCCACCTGTTCCCACACATACACACCCTTTCCTGACCACTGCCCTGGCCACTATTCCTTTCCCTTCCCTTTAATTCTCAATCCCTTTGCCCGGACCCACTTTCGGTGTGCAGTAAGATCTGAGGCTCTCTGGGAAGAGCTACTGTCCAATTGGCCCACCAAAATACCCTTCTCCGGAGCCCATCTTCCTCTCTCTGCTGGGCCCATTCCTATTCATAGCAGACTGAGCATCTCACCCAACTCTTACCAAGGATTCCAGTGACCTCCAAGAAGCCAGCTGAATGATCAACCCCAAGTCTTCATCTTGCTAGACCACTGGCAGCATCTGTCACAGCTCACCCCCTCCCTCCCTCTCCTCTCACCTGACTACAAGTAGGTAGGCTGCTGCTTTCTTGGTTTGTCTCCTCCCTCCCTGGCTAGACCTTCTGTCTGCTTAGCTGGCTTGTTGCTCACCTCTGAGCACCCATGGACGGTGTCTCCCCATCTCCCTAGATGATCTCGGCTACTTTAAAGCTTTTATTTGTTTATTTTTGTTGGTAGTCTGCAGCATGAACCCAGAGCCTCAAGGTCTCACTTGGCTTTGGCTTCTTGTTCACAGCTGGCACTCTAACACTTGAGCCATGACTCCTCTCTGGCATTTTGTCAGTTACTTGAAGATGGAGTCTCTGGGACCTTGCTGCCTGAGCTGGCTTTGAACACAGATCTTCAGATCTCAGCCTCCCGATTAGCTAGGATTACAGGCACAGCCACTGGTGCCCATCTGCCTTAAGGACTTTAAAGTACAGTTAGCTCTCTATAAGCACAAGTGTCATATCCAAGGATTCAACTCTAAAAAATACCCACCTGAACTTAACATGTACCAACTTTTTCCTTGTTATTAGTCCCTAAACAGTTTAGCATAGCCACTCTATAGAGCATTTACTGTGTGTGCATGTGTGCTTGGATATAACATGCCCACACGTCTCTCATCATTCCTGCCACTGTCCTGATCTAGCTTAGATTGTTTTTTTTTGTCGGTTGTGGGGCCTGAACTCTGGGCCTGAGCGCTGTCCCTCAGCTCTTCAGCTCAAGGTGAGCGCTCTACCACTTGAGCCACAGCACCACTTCCGGCTTTTTCTGCTTATGTGGTGCTGAGGAATCGAACCCAGGGCCTCATGCATGCAAGGTAAGCACTCTACCAGTGAGCCACTTTCCCAGCCCCTGGCTTAGATTTTTTTTTAACTTAAGAGGTTTAGTTGTTTCCCCCACCCCAGGTTAAAAATAAATTATCTTTAAGTAGTTGTACTTTCACAAAGCAGTTTATAAGTACAATACATCTTGTTCAATGGCACCCCTTCTAGCCTAAAGTGGCAGTTTCATGGATGGGCTTTTTCAGTGTGAGCAAGCAGGGGAATCTGTCACACTCCCCACCATCTCATCTGCACGGCAGAGCCTTCTCTGCCATCCCTGTGGCTCCTGCTCTCTTGCAGAGCAAAAAGCTGGAATCTTCACAATAGGCTCAAAGGCGGGTGTGTGAGCTGACCATGAACCCTCTCTGCTTCTTAGCCCAGTCCCAGGTGCCCACTGCTCCCAGCCACCAGGCATGCTTCTCCCTCTGGGCTTTGGAGCTCCCTCTGCTGGTAATCCTAGCTACCCAAGAGGCTGAGATCTGAGGATCACTGTTCACGGTCACCCTGGCTTCCTTCACTCCCCAGCCCCAAGCTGCTCACAGGGGCCTTCCCTGACCATTCCAGAGGAAATTTGGCCTCTGTATTTTCATCCTAGGCCCCTCCTGCCATCTGCCACAGTGAAGGTCTATCTGGTTCTTGTTACATTTTTGTATCTAGAATCATACTCAGTTAAGTGCCTGATAGTCAAGTGTGAAGTCGACGGCGGGCACTGCTGCATTTGGGGCTGTGGAAAGAACTAACACTTCACCACCAGGAATGACCACGAATGGGAGAACTGCAGCCTGGCAGGATCTCAGAGGCTCCCCAACCCTCTGCGGACACTGACCACAGCTGGTGGTCACCCTTTATGGTATAGTGGTTTGACCTCAGGTCCAAGATGTTCTAGAGGCCACTGCTGGTCCCAAGCATGGAGAGTGGATAAGAAGACTCTCTTTTCTTTTCCTTGCTTTTCTTTCCTTTCTTTCTTTCTTTTCCTTCCTTCCTTCCTTTTTCTTTTTTTTTCTTTCCTTTCTTTTCTTCCTTCCTTCCTTCTTTTCTTTCCTTCCTTCTTTCTTTCTTTCTTTCTGTTGTGGGGCTTACACTCTGGGCCTGGGCTCTGTCCCTGAGCTCTTCAGCTCAAGACTAACACTCTTAACACTTGAGCCATACCACCACTTCCAGTTTTCTGGTGGTTCATTGGAGTCTCATGGACTTTTTTGTCTGGGCTGGCTTTGAACCGAGATCCTCAGATCTCAGCCTCCTGGGTAGCTAGGATTATAGGCGTGAGCCACCGGCGCCCAGCTCTCTTTCTTTCTTTTCTTTTTCTCCTTTCCTTGGTTGCTTCCTTCCTTCCTTTATTCCTTTTTTTCATTTGGTTTTCTTGATAGGTTCTTCTGTGTAGTCTAGGATGGCCTGAAACTTGAGATTCTCAGGTCTCTACCTCCTGAGTACTGGGATTCAAGCACCCCCACACCAAGGTAGCCTATTTTAGGAACCACTCACCTTAGAGCCCGGGAGTGTGAAGAATCTCATAAGCAGTTATGCATTTTTTTTGCATTTTTTGCCCCTCCCTCTCAGGCTCTTGCTGCCAGAGTCTACTCTAGAGAGTGGGCTCCAGCAGGGGGTCTAACCTGGCATTTTCCGGTGAATCTGCTGGAACATTCGCCGATACCAGTCTCTGGGGCTGCCAACACTCTGAGATCAGAAAATGCAAAGTCAGGCCTTCCAGCTCGCCCATCCTTTCTTTTCCAGATCAAGTCACAAACGGTTTTCCTTCGTGAGCTCTATCTCTGGCCACCTCGAACCCCTTGGGTAAGCTAGGAATGTCCCTTTGATGTCTTTATAGCTTCACGCAGCACGCCACATATGACTGAGACCCATGGAGGAAGGACTTCCATCAGTGTATATGGCGACGATCTCTTGTGAGATTTGGTGTGGTTTACATGTTTTATCTTTTCTTTCCTCCATTTTCTTGTGTCTTACACTACAAGAACACGTATTTCTAGGTAATGGTACGTAATAATATGTAATAACGTGGTGGGGGGCATATTTCATCTCACCCACCTCACCTGGGCTTCCAAACAGTGCTAGAAGGCATGCAGAGAGCGTGGCTGGCCTGAGACATGAAGGTAGATAGAAGAAGGTAGATGGGAGGTAGAAGGTAGAAGACCTGAGGCCTTCTCATTCATAGTTACTTATGGGATTATAATGTTGTGAGAGCCCTGCCTGACCCTGGACATGCAAAACAGAGAAGGCTCCCACCAAGTTCAGTTGTTATGGTGGTCACTCTCCACCTGTAGGACCCTGGTAGGAATTCAAGAGCTAGACCTCCCCTCACTTGTGCAACTCAGACCCCAGAACACTGGTGACAAGGTTCATGATCCTCTGAAATGTACCATGGCTGAACCCCTTGCTTGGTGGTCTGGGTTTACAGTCTTTATGCCACACCCCCATCTCACACATAGGAGTGGAACTTAGTAGTACAGATCCCTGCCCCACCCCCATCTGCCCCCCTCTCCCCCAGCCTTGGACTTACAGATCGGGGGGCAATGGGCATGCCGCTCTCATCCACAGGCCCAATTCCTTCGTACTTGACCCAGCGCTTGTCCCGATGTTTGTTGTCCCTGGTCCATGTGGCTGACCAGCTCTGGGCATGCTGAGAGGCAGGGGTCTTTGGGCTTGAAGAGGGCCGGCTCCCAGGGCCTGGCCAGGTCTGATACCATGCAGGGTCTGTGGGGGAGGTGCAGGAGAGCATTCGCTGAAGATGGACGGTTCCTACCTTTATTTGAAGCTGTGTTCCTTAGAACTTTGATCTCTGAGAGCTCAAAGTTTCAACATTTCCTTGTTTGTTTGAGTAGATGATGTAGACTCTACAAATCTCTCCATCGACAAGCACCACCACAGGCTTCTGTGTATTTTATTTTGTGCAAGTACTGGGGCTTGAACTCAGAGCCTCATATCCTCACTTGGCTTTTTTCCCTCAAGGCTGGTGCTCTACCACTTAAGCCACACCTTCACTTCTAGCTTTTTTTCCCATTAATTGGATATAAGAGTCTCACCAACTTTTCTGCCTGGGCTGTATGAGATCCTCAGATCTAAGCTCCTAAGTAGGTGATATTACAGTTATGAGCCACCAGTGCCTGCATGGTTATTTCGTTTTTTTTTAAATTAATTTTATTGTCAAGGTAATGTACAGAGGGGTTACTTGTCACACTTGTTACCTCTTCCCACTTTGTTTATTTCTTAAGATAGATTAAAAATGGAATTTGTAGTTGGGTGGTTGTGGCTCATGCCTGTAATCCTAGCTACTCAAGAGGCTGAGATCTGAGGATTGTGGTTTGAAGCCAGCCTGGGCAGGAAAGTCCGTGAGATTTGAGACCTCCCCCCCCAGTGAGACTCTTACCTTCAACTAACCATCAGAAAACCAGAAGTGGTGCTCTGGCTCAAAGTGGTAGAGCACTAGCGAAAGAGCTCAGAGACAGCACATGGGCCCTAAAGTTCAAGCCCCACAACGGGAAGAAGAAGGAAGAAGAAAGAAGAAGGAAGAAGAAAGCAGAAGAAGGAGGAGGAGGGGGAGGAGGAGGAGGAGGAAGAGGAGGAGGAGGAGGGAGGAGGGAGGAGGGAGGGAGAGGAGACTGTGTCCCCCCCCCCCAAATCCTGCTTTCCTGGGACCCTTCTAAGTGTCTGCAAAATAAAGGCTGGAAATCATTACTTGAATTCAGACCCCAGCTCTGCCACCTACTGGCTGTGAGACTTTGGGCACATCAGTTAACCCCTCAGGAACTCAACTTCCACTTCTGTAAGAGGATAATAACTAGCAGACTCCCTGGTAACTAGTGAGTGTTGCTGTACCCAAGCACAGACGGCAAAGAGGACAGAAGCTCATTCCCCAATTGTGGCTGCTAATCGCCAACTTCCCCAGAACCTTTGGCCCTTAAGTAGCTAGTGTAGCAGCCTAAGGGCTTCTACACAGATGGACCTGTAGTTGAAGTTCAGCATAGCCTTGGCTACTGATCGTCTCTGAGATGCAGGCTCCTCGGTAATTAATGCTCATATTGTGCCTCTCTCCTAGGATATGGGTGGTCTACATGAGTTGAGTCTTGTAAAAATGTCTTTATAGAGCCTACATGCTGCAAGTACTCAATAATTACTTGGGTTTTTGTTGTTGTCATTTGTTTTTATGGTGCCAGAACTAGAGGAATTCAGAGTCTAGGCACTGTCCATTAGTTTTGTTGTTTTGTAAAAACTGTCATTCTACCACTTCAGCCACAGCTCCATTTCCAGCTTTTGTGGGGATAAGAGTTGGAGATAAGAGTATCATGGACTTTTCTGCCAGGTCTGGCTTTGAATGTCAATCCTCAGATCTCTGCCTCCTGAGTAGCTAGGGTTACAGATATGAAATACCGGTTCCCAGCCAGCAGTTACTTGGTAGATGACTGAAGTCCCTCACATACTGTGAGCCTCAGGGTTGGTCTGTATTCAGAAGTTCCCAGGAGCTCAGAACCCTGGGACATGGCTGACCAGTCCTCAAGCTACTGCTTTTACCTCCAGCTGGACTATGTGAGCATAGACGGGGCAGGAGAGCAGCAGCTTCTTTTCCAGCCAACATTCCCCACCCTTCCATTCCCCACCCAGGCGATTCTCCTTGGCCTCAGGATACGTCTTCTGGGGAAGGAGGAGCTATGGCAGTCTGCTCCCTCCCTGGCACTCCTCCTTCAAGGTCAGCATAACACACTGTGCAGGGGAGAGGCCCTGAGCCGAGCTGCAGGCCCTGGGAACCTTTGTGGCCTTGAGTCCCTGCACTTCTGCTACCCTCTCTCAACCCAATAGCATGGGATGCGAAGGCCCACGGGGCTCCAGTCCCCGCCTCCCACGTGGGACTCACACAGCAGGTGCTTCTGAGTACACTCACCTGGGTGCCGTGAAGCATCTCTCCTTGGTGAGGTGGTGTAGCCATTGCACACAGTCCTGGGCGCAGGGTCGTGGAACTGGAAATTAAGGGTGTTGGAGCCACCATTCCGGATCACAGGCACCTGTGGGGAGGGGCCAGGAGCAGCAGAAGTGGCCAGGGATGACTGCCAAGGAATAGCCCACACCCCACAGTGAGGGATCCAGGCCAGCCTGACCTGAGGGGAGCCATGGAGGCTCATGGGAGCTCTCTTCAGACTCTCTCCACCCTCTAAATCCCTTCAAGCCTCTCTCTCTCTCTCCCCCACCTAATCTGCTGGAGCTCCCACTAACTGGGGGGATGCACAGTGTACCCTCCTCCTTGCCTTCCACTCACCCGTGACCCCCGCAAGGTTGGCCCTGCATAGGCCCGGAAGTGGCTGGGGATGAAGTCGTCCAGGCTGAGCTCAGCTGGCAGGCTGCTAGACGGGCCTTGCATGTTGGGGTCAAAGTTGGAGGGCTCCGGGTGTGTCAGCTTCTCCTTGGCCTGTCCTCTGCAAGGAAGGAGGAAGGAAAGGCTCAGCTGGACGGCAGTGCCTGTGCCCTCTTGGCTCAAGCCAGGGCTTGGGGGCGGAGGGGCTGGCCGTGGGAGGGGGCTGAGATCAGCTGGGTGGGAGCTCAAGGACCCAGGAAGCAGGCCACTGTGGGCACCAGGCCCGCAGGCTGCCCGTGCCGGCTCCCAGAGGCACAATGAACTGCTTGTTAGGCCCTGGGCAGGAGCTCCGGGTGGGAGTGGGGGAGGGGAGGCAAGGAGTGGGAGAGGAGAGGCTGGGCAGGAATGGGCCTGTGGCCTGCTGGCCAGACCCTGGATGGCTCTCCCCGCCACTAGAGTCCTCTCCCCCCAGAGGTAAGGCACAAGAGCACTGTGCAGCTGGCAGAGGCGGCCTGGGCACACAACACTTTGTTTCAGTTCCTCTGTCTCCCCCAGGCTCCGTGTAGCATCTGCTTGCCTGAAGGGACAAGGAGTTACTTGGTCCCAGAGCAGCAAGGTCACCAACCCACAGCCCTAATTCCTACCAGGGCCAAGAAGCATGGGGGCATTCCGGTAGCAAACCCACTCCCGAGCACAGGGCAAAGTGGGTGCCTTGCTGGCCATTTGCCCATAGCAGTGACCCAGCAGGGGCTGAGGGGAGGGAGGGGCTGTAAGAGACATGGTGACAACACAGATAGATGGACATGCTCCCGTTCTGGAGTGGTGCTGAGTACATGCCTTGGGGTGCTCCCCTGCACGTGTACACACGCACACACGCACACATGCACGCACACATATGTGCGTGCGCACATATGTGCACACACACGCACGCACACACACGCGCATGCACGCACACACACACATGCGCACACACGCACAACTTGCTGCTCCAGGCTCAGAGTTTTGAATGTGTAACAGGCCAGAGAGTCATTATAAAGTCAGGTCAGTGAAGAGAATTCCATACAGAAGAGATGAAGCAAGAAGCGAGGACAAAGGCCGGGAGGGCTGCGAGGGGGTGGTCCTGGATCAGGGTGCTCCCAGGGTGGCTTTTGTATCCACAGAGCTATGGGCAGAACCTGTGCCTCCTTGCCGTCACTGATGGATTGGTCACAGTGGAGCCAACTTCCAGAGTGTTCTAGACTTGGCTGAATGAGCCTCGTAGATAGGTGCTGGCTGTGGTGGCTGTAGGGCATGGCATGGCTTGGGAGGTGCTGAGTGTGTGTGTGTGTGTGTGGTGTGTGTGCGTGTGTGTGATGCATACACTCGTAGGGTGCCTCAGGAGTCAGGAGAGCAGCATGGGGGCTGTGGATAAGAGGGGCGTCAACTGAACGCCAGGCGCAGTATATGTAGTAGACAGTCATATGACAAGATAAAGAGTTGTGGGGACAGGAAGGGATTGTGGCACCCACTTCCCGCTCTGGCCTGAGGGCTGGCAAATGTACAGAAGAGGCTAGAGCAACATCTTGTCTCTGGTCTGCGTTAGTGGGGATTCTTTCTGGCATAGAAACAGCCTACTGGGGACACAGCTTTTCCAGGCCAGCCCCTGCCAGAGCCGAGGGGAGTGGGGAAACTACAGCTGGAGGAGGGGCAACTCCCCAGCTGGATCCGATTAGGATTCTTACCAAACGCAGACACACCCTAGCCCTCCCGCTGCCCAGGCAGGGAAAGTGAGGCCAGACAAAGAGTGGACGTTCAGGAGGCTTGGGCAGCTTAGTCCTGGTGGACAGCCCCCACCTCTCCCCTTCATCCTCCCCCCCCTGCGGCCCCCAGGCTGACAAGCTTGCAGCAGCCCTGCCATCAGCTGACCGGCCTTCCTCCCCTCCCACCCCTCAGCCCCGACCACAAAGCGGCCTGCTGGTTTTCAGGGGGCTTTGGATCACGTGTAGGGGTGGGGTGGGAAGGTGATCCCGGGTGATCTCTGGGCAGCCCTGTCAGGAGACATAAGCAACAACCTCTCAAGTAGAGACAGGCATGGTGGAGAGCCGGTGACCTCTCTGTGGCACGGGAGAGGCCGTGCCAGGCACCCCTCGGGGCAGCTGTCCCCACTCCGCTGGCCCCCCGCTTTCCAGGAGGGAGGAACTTCTCACAAGCCTCCCCACTTCACAGCGCGGGACCGGGACCCCGGAGGAGGGGCCGGTGCCTGGCCCGGCTCGCGTCCCACCCCCGGGGCGGCCTCGCCTCCTCCCCGCCCCTCGCTCCCGCCGGCACCTACCTTCCCCGGCGAGCAGGTGGAGGGGCCCGAGGCCGCCGGGAAGGGCAGGGGCATCCCTGCCCGGCTGCGGCGGGGCGGGGTGGCCGGGAGAAGGGCGAGCTGTGGCGGCCCTCGTGACCGGGTCAGGACGCTGGGACGGGGAAGAGGAAGGCCGAGCGGGAGGCTGGCTCGTGGGGTCCGCCCGGCGGCGGGAGGAGTCGGCCCGAGCGGGGTGGGAGCGGAGCGTGCGGTGCCCTGGGCCAGGGCGTCGCGGGGACGCGGGTGGCCCCGCGCCCAAGGGGCCGGGCCGGCCGGAGGCGGCGCCGGGAGAGGCTGCCGAGGGTCCCCGGGGAGCCCGCTTGGCTGCCCCGGCCCCCACCGAGGGCTGGCGGCGGGAAGGGGGCCGGCGAGGGCCACTCAGAGTTTCCAGCGACATTTCCAGGGTGTGGGAAGGGGAGGGAGCGGGACGGGGCTGAGTGATTAGGAGGTGAAGTTCCAGAGGGTGGACTGGAGTCAGGCCCGCGGGCAGTCGGGCTGGGCCGGCGCAGGGCGCTGTCGGGCTGGTGGCCCCGAGCCCCGGCCCGGCCCCGGCCCACCCTCCCCTGAACGCCGGGGCGCACGGAAGGGCGTGTGCAAACTGCAAACCTGCCGATGCTCACGCACGTGCAAGCACCGAGGGGACTAGCAGCGGAGGCTGACCCTAGGTAGCCGGCTCCCGAGGCGAGCGGAACAGCCAAAGAGGAGGAGGGTGGGGTCCCTGGGGCGGGGACGGGGTTAGAAGGGTCTTGGTGTTCCCACACGAGGTGTTTGTTTTGATTTTGCTGCTTTTCCGCTGTTCCCCGGCTGGGCTGACCCAAGTCCCCCAAACCCCGCCCACTGGCTCCTCAAACACCAAGGCCCTCCCTCCTCTCCTCCTCCCCCTCCCTCTAAGCCTAGGTGTGGACAGGGGCCTTTGACAGAAGGTGGGGCGCTGGATGAGCGTTTACTGAGAGTGGAAACCTCCCCGAGCACTTCCAGCCTTTGGTCCGCCCCCAACACACCGAGCAGAAGGGAGTTTACATTTCAGATACCTATGGGGAATGATCAGTGATAAATTATGGAAATATGATCATTTTTATTGGATACCTGTTGGGTGTCCAATTGGTGCCTGAGGCTGCCATGCTCCCTTCATTTATTATTTTTTTTAGCACATCACTCAACTCAAAAGTTAATAAGAAATGGAGAAAAGACAAGCAGTTCTCAGTACCTAGTACCCTCGCTGCTTTATATTTGCCTAGTTTAGAGAAAAGAGATGTTCTGGGGAAATAGCTGTTTGGGTGGTGTTGGAACAAGAAGGTATAGGTTAGAGGAAGGTAGATAGATCCAAAATGTCCAGGGAAGACTTAAACTTTACATGGTTCCAAGCCTGCAGTTGTTCAATATTTTTACAAAGGCAATTATTGCACTGAACAGGGCTGAAGGAGATAACCTTTGAGGTTCCTTCCAAGCATCTCTAAGTCTCTAGGTAAGCTAAAGGAATCTAGATTAGGAAATGGCCAGGGCCCCACAGGAAGCAGCTACAGGAGCTCAAGGACATTCACTGAGGATGGGTGGGAGTGGACTGCCCCGCCCTTGATGCTTGGACACTTGCCCAACCTTAGTACCAGCCCCTCCCCTTCCAGAGGAATAAATCTCTCCTCTGAGTTCTCCCACCTGTCAGGGTCCTTGGCACTAAGAAGGGCCACATCATGTTCTTCCTTGTTCTCCAAAGTTGGTGAAGTTGAAGATCGTCCAACTCCAGGAATCCTGGCCATACCCCTCACCAGCATCGAACTTCTCTTATTCTCTAGGGCTTTGACCTGGACTCCAAGATAAATATTTAATGGAGAGGGTGCCGGCTGAGCTTCCAAAGGTCCCAACTTCCTGTTTCTCACAAAGGGAGAACTCAGCCATGGGCAGGGAGCTGGGGACTAGCTACCAGTTTCATCTCTATGGGAATGGGGAGGGGGGGAATAGAGAAGGAGGGAGTCTTTCCCTCCGCTGCTTTTCTCCTCTCCTGTCTACTCAGGCCTGGGCCCAGCTGGGCTTACAGGTTGGAAACCCCAGTGTCCCTTGGTACTTAGCTTGGCCACACAGAGGACAGCTGGGAAAATATAAGAAACAACAGATTTCTCTTTTTCTACCCAGATGGACAGAGAATTCCTCCTCTTTGAAAAACAGATTAAGGCTGGAAAAGTAGCAAGGTATAGTGATTCAGCCTAAAACCAGGTATCTGATTTCCCAACTCCTCCCCCTAGCTTCAGTTCCTTGCTGTCTTTCTGCTTTACAGCTGGTACTGCTTCCCAGTGGCAAGGCAGAACTGAGGAAGGTTGGCCCAGATTGCACGGCCCGGGTCAGCCACAGAGCAGACCGTTTGCATCTTGTGTACTGTTCCCTTGTTCTCCAAAGATGGCCATTCCTCCCCACCAGACTGCCGCTTGCCCACCTCTTGACAGGGCCTTCTCTGCCACCTGAGCCTTAGTAAACACAGTTATGTAAGGGCTGTTTTTCCTAGCTATCTGGTTCCAGTCACCAGGATCCCCACCCCAACAGAGGCTGCCAACTTCTGTTCCGTGCACATTGCCCTACAGCTCTGCTGTCCTCAGCCACCACCCCAGGGCCTGGCTAGCCAAACGACTACTAATACATATTAGGGCTCCTTATGCAGAAGGGACCCAGATGGTAGTGTGTCAGCAAGAAGGAGAAATAGAGCATTTAAGTAGTGCTTTCCTCTCTACCAGGGAAGGCCAGGCCAATAGAGTGCAAAGAACTCAAGTTACTTCTAAAGTGGAAAAAGAGAAGCCAGGGATCCCCTAAGGCGAGTTGCTCATTTCTCTAGTGTCTTTCTTTAGTGCTGGGGGCTGCCATTCCTATGAGTCATCCTGAGACCTCCTGGGCTCAGGCCCCAATTCCCTCTGCTGCCCCCTTTCTCCTCCCTGGGATTAACCCTGAGTTCATTTTTATTAAGGCTCTCAGAAGGGCATTTTCTTCCTGCAGACCAGAAGGGATTAGTCAGCTGAAACCAAGTCGCTGTGGACACAACCAGCACCAGATCTAGACTCTCTTTCATCCCCAGGGCCCCAGCCTTTCTCCTGGGTCCTCTCCTGATTCCAGTTCCTGCAGCGTTGCTGGCCAAGTTCTACGGATGGCCCTCATCTGTGCCAGCCTCTGATGAGAACAGAGGCAAGCAGGGGAGAAAAGTGAAGTGACCCACTTCGGGGCTTCAAAGGCCTTCCTGCACAGACAATGGCACGATCCAGCCCATCAGGAATCCAAGTTTTTTTGGTCCAGTTGCTGTGAGATGAGGGATCTTGGTGAGTGAAAAGCCACCCAGTACAGATCAGGTATGGGCAGCATGAAGCTTGGCAGCCAGTACGTCTGTGTGGAACTCCATGGATGCGGAAATGAGTCTTCCATGTCCGTCTGACACACATCTTTCCACAGCACATGCATGATATAATGGGTATCTATTTGGGGCACTCAATCACATCTAAACCCCAAAGGAGACAACTGTTTGTCCTATTTTCCCAGACTGTCCTCCAGGAAGCTGGGACCCTGACATCACACCCACCACTGTTCTGTCCCACTTTATGGACCAGCAAAGCAGCCATGTGTGTAGTTAGGGCATCTCTTAAGAACTGAGTGGGATGAAGCCCTTTTGGCTCTCAGGAAAGATGAGAAGAGCAAGCGACTGTCAGCCCTTTAGGAAGCTGACTTTGTAAGGGGAGGGTAAGTGGTAACTTCAGAGGGAAACCAAGCCAAGTCAACTCAGATGCAGAGAAGGGCACAGAACCAGGCTGTCCTTCCCAGTTCAAGTAAACTGAGATTACGGAGACAGAGGGCTGATTGGCCGACCGGTGAACATCAGGAGGTAGTGCTCTGGCCTCCACACATAGAATAATCTGTCTTCCTGTCTGCTTGAATTCTGTACCAAACTTTCTCCTTAACTGCATAAACACTAAAAAGATGACTTAACTTACCCAAAAGTGACCGATTCACTGTCATTAAGTACCTTTTCTTTCTAAAATCTCAAAAGTTGTGATTGAAAAAACAAACCTTCAAAAAAAAAAAGAGACCATCCAATGTAGTGGGTTACAAAGTGGCTGAGAATGTGGCTTAGTGGTACAATGCTTGCCTAGCAAGCATGAAGCTCTGGATTTGATTCTCAGTACCACATAAACAGAAAAAGCCAGAAGTGGTGCTATGGTTCAAGTGGCAGAGTGCTAGCTTTGAGCAAAAGCAGCTCAGAGTTCTAACCCCAGGACTGGCAGGGGAAAACAAAACAAAAAACACAACAACAACAACAAAGTGGGAACTGCATCTAGATCTAGATGGGTCAAATTTCAATTTAATCCTTCATTCTAGGCTCCTAAAACGTGCTCTGACTTTGTAAAGAAGGGCAAGTATGTCCTCAGCTTATTTTAGCAAAGGGAGAAAGGACACTGCTAACTCAGGATGCCACCAGGACTGGCGAAACCTTTGGTGCAATTAGGAATCTAGGCTCATTTTGTCCTGTAAACTGTTCCATGGCCCTTAATGTGGCTGAGATAAAAACTGTCATCTGGGCCTGGCAATCCTGGATTTAGCCTTCCCACGTCACTG